TCGCGACGCTTAATTCATTCCGCTCGACGGGCATTGCTTAACGACACCGACCCGCGTTATTCAACTTTTGGTCTCCTTATTGCTGCGAAGTTTCTTTTACTGTGCAATTGCTTAAATGAAATTCACCCGGCACTTCATTACTTTGTTAATCAAATTTCGATGGGGTTCAAGGCTGGCGTCGCCCGAACCGAATACAATTGACCTCCGCGATTTCCATTGCTCGCGACACGCCGCGCGCAATTTAATTCCTCGCGAAGATTTCTATTTCCCCTTTCTCTCTCTCTCTCTCTCTCTCTCTCTCTCTCTCACTCTCTCTCTCTCTCACTCACTCTTCTTCTTCTTCTTCTTCTTCTTTCCACCAAAAGACGAGAGCCTCCTTTCCGCTCTAGATTCGACCGAGACGAGCCACGACGCGCGGCGCTCGGTAAAGCTGGTCGGACGGCGACGGGTTGGGGAGGGAAGGAGAGAACGTTGCGCAAGTAGCGCGTGCGAAGAAAGTGCTGCTCACCTAAGATTAAGTGGAGCTTTGCGTCCGTCTGGAAGGCGTAATGCAGCGTCACCAGGAAAGGACTGTCCCGGACGGCCTCGAGGACTTGCCTCTCGGTCTTCGTGTGCTCGGTCATCTTCTTTCTCTGGACGATCGACGCCTTCTTCAATACTTTCATGGCATAGAGGCGGCCGGTGTCGGCGCCGATTCTCTTGCGCACCAGGAACACTTTGCCGTAGGCTGTAACAACGATTTCGATCAGCCCGGGCATATTCGTGGGATTTCCCTTAACTCTTTTCACGCTCCTTGCGCCTAATAATATTCATTTATTAACGCGCGCTTGGGCAAACGCGAGTTAATGTCGACTACTTTTTTTTTGTTTTTTTTTTTGGTTTGTTTTTGCAGAAAGCACCCGGATATTCGAAGCACTCGAATCGTCGTTTCATGGGAAAGTTGATATTTTTAAAGTAGGCTTGTTATCACAATAGTAATTTGTTATTACTTTTTTTTCTTTCTTACACTTTACGAGGCTGCGTATTGAAAAAAATTCTAGCAACGCGTGCACAACTACTCGAAAGCATAAAGCTTGCGTGTGTACACACACACACACACACACACACACACACACACACACATATATATATATATATATTTGTGTGTGTGTGTGTGTGTGTGTGTGTGATACGCGGAGGCGCGTGTGTACGCGCGCATGTATGCTCGTGTACTTTAGTATGGGTGCATGTATGTATTGTCGCTCACCTCCGGTCCCAAGGACTTTAAGTAGGTCAAAATGCGTCATGTCAACTCTTTGGCCTCCGGTATCTGCTAAATTGACTGAAACACAAAAAATAACAATGTTTTGTTAAATAAAGCCATTATATATAATTAAAATATTATTGAACGTTGAATGCGATAATTACGTCATTACAATTTTGAATATCATACTTTCAACGTCTTAATTTATCGAAACTCAAATAGAGATACAATTTAATTTTCTCAATGATAAACTTTATGGTACGGCATCAATTTTATTACATTTCATTTACATCATATTACAAGGTGTAATATTATACAAGGTAACATTCAATACCAGATCGTGTAAAAGAAAAGTAATACTGGCTTATTAAAATCATTACGATACTAAATAATTTCTCAAACTCCATTTAGCATTTTTGCATCGGCAAAAATTACAATAACAACGACGGGAGCATGAAAGATTTCATTATTTAATTCCATGAAGAATTAGTTGCTCGTTAAGAAATAAGAGAAAAGGTTTTCTAATACGTTTCACACTCGCTTCACATGCACTACGCAGGCGCAAAATCATCGCTCTCTCGAAAGTAATTGAATTTTTACAAAAATATTTGAAGATATACTTTATCGAATTGGAAAGTTTTTAAGCATCGCATCAATCGCTGAACATTTACATTTCAAATTAGCAAAAGTTTTAATCATGGAGCGGTTGTCGTATTATCTTTAATAAACAACGAATAAACGATAGATTACTTCAATGAACATCGCTACTCGATATCGACACTTTTATATTTTTAACATTTGAAGATGCTGGAGTCGCGAGCTTATACTTGACCTTCGGAAATTCTGTAATTTACAATTCTAATCGAATGCCAGTGTACTACATATTACAAACTCGAAGCAATCGAGCCGAGCTTCATACCCGACACACATAAAACTCGATTTCTCGTTTTCACAGGTAGTTTACCATTTTCACGATCTCAACGCTAATGACGATTAGATCCGGGGAAATGTAGTAAATCGAAGAGGGGACCTCCGAAAGCTAAGCTCGAACGCCGAATTGTCAAAGACACGTGCGAGGTCCTTCGATAATCGAAACGATCGGTTGCCTGCGTTTGTGGCCCCGGCGTAGGAGGTGCACACTCAATACATACACCCCCCCATCCCATCCCATCCCATCCCATACCATACCATACCATACCATACCATACCATACCATACCATCCCAACCCACCCCATTCCACTTACCCCATCCCACTGCGTTGTAAAAGCGAAGATAAAAACCAAAACAAAAACGAAAAGCAGAAGGAAAGAAAAACACCATACGTTCGCTACCCACTAACCACTTCCTACCTCCCGGCCTTGGGCTGTTGTAATCCCCAGAGCCAAGTCTCCTGGATTATTACTTTCGATTTTCTTGGGTCGACATAAACGGTCGTGACTTGCCGCTTACCCGGCTCTTTCTCCCCTTCATGTTGTCTAATTCTAAATTTACATCGTTCATTCGGACCGCATCGACCAATGCTCCGCAAGGTACACGGCAAGTAGGTCCCAGCCGATCTATTAGCTAGCAGTCAAAATTTCACGATCCTCGTTAGATCGTTAATGTCCACGGCGCAAGAGGCGCGAAAATCAAGAAGCAAAAGTGCGCCGAGAGCAACTCCTGGAATTTTTCGTCCCACCTGGTTCCCGCTCGGCGCACGCCACTAACGCCGAGGAGTAACACGCGGGGTAACACCGCAACGGTCCTTCCCCTCGTGTCCTCGCTGTTATCGCCACTCCATGCACCATTGACGCGACCCGCGGCGAGACCAACAATGGCGCGCAGCATTTCACGGCTGAGCGAGGCTGCGAAGAAAGTCGAGACTCGGGACACATTTCTCGGTAGTGCCGTTGCGTAAGCATCCAGAGACGCGAGCGCACACGCACACTCGCACGCAAACACGAGAGACTCTCGAAGATTTATTCAACAAATTCTCGTCCCGAGTGCGCTTCATTTTAAAAACTCCAACTCGTCTCCTAGTCACCTTTACGATATGTTGTTACTACTAACGAGAAGACGATGGAGACGATGAAGCGCGGCGGCGAGCCGTTCGAATTTCCCGCCTCGCGATCATTTCTCCAAAATCGCGGCGCCAGATACTCCACGTCGGCAATTTGGGTTACGGGATTCGTTTCTTTTTCTTATTTACTCACCGCGGCCAAATATTTTCGTATCGTCTGCTTGACTCCAGTGTATTTTCAGTTACTTCTTTTCGAAAACATTTTTATTTTGGAGGTTATATTTCGCTTTAACTTTAGACGAATACGGTGCGGCGCCCTCATCTGGGTCATCGCTTTCAAACGATCGGATTCCGTCGAGGCTTTGCGATTTAATATAGTTGAGCTCTAGTTGCGTAAGTATTATTATCTTTCATTTCTTTTCTTATTTTCCTTTCAATTTATTTTATATGTTTCTCTCTCTCTCTCTCTCTCTCTCTCTCTCTTTTTTTCTTCTTTTGTTTATACACTTACTATAAATTTATTCATTTATTGTTTCCAACGCAGGATTAGCTTGCATTATATGAACCGATAGAATTGGCGCGGTCATCAATGTAAAGCCACACTACCTAAGTCAATGCTATCTAGACTTCGTACAAACATAATAACGTTACAACTACTCAAATTAATTGTCATTACGGCGTTGTTTCCTCGTTACACCAACACAGCGGCCGCACGAATGCCTTCAATCACGAATAATGCAAATGCCCCTTTGTAATATAAAGCCTTAGTTACCGTCCTCTCTTCTTATTATGTCCTGTGGATAAAATTAACAGGATCGGACCTGGAAAGTCCTACCCTTATTCGTCCCATCCATCGACACAATGCACAACCATTTATCTTGTGTCTAGCTTAAATCCTTATAATGCAAAAGCCTTTTCACATTAAAGTTATCATTAAAGAAGAATCTCGTGTCTCTCGGTCGTGTAAATCACGATTCATCATCCTATAGCCAGAAAAAGACAAAAAAAAAGACAAAAGAAAAAAAAAAAAAAAAAGAAAAAAAGAAGAAGAAGAAGAAGAAAGAAAGAAAAAAAGAAAAGGTAAAAGCCAATAGTCAACCAATTCCCTCTTGGAATCAAGTGCACCTCTCTTCCTCAATACCAACAAATGCCCATCACGGCTATCAAAATTGGACAAATACCGCGGGCGCAATGGTAATGCACACTAATACTCTCCCGCGTTCGAAATGAGCCGCGCTCGAAAAACGGAAGTCACCGCGATCAAGAGACAAAGAGAGTTAAGCGAGGACTTTCACTTTCGTAGCTCATAAGGAGCGACCAGGAGCGGAGAAATCCACTCGCACCCCGAATCTTCGTTACCAGTTTAGCCTCGACTTTTCACGCTTTATCATCATCCAGGTGTTGCCCTTACCTCCCATCCTTGTCCTCCATTGCATTTCTCCTCGAGAGCTCGATCGTGTTTAGTAACAATTCTGCGGGGAGCTCAGCTGTCTTTGGATTATGCCTTTCACGTCTTTGCTTGTCATTCTTTCGATTCGTGGCCAGTTGTGGCAACGTTCACTACGCTAACCAATTCTATATTTAAATTTAAATTTGCGGTATAATAATAACGCGGTAAGAGCTATCGCTATTAATTCTAATAAGGCGTTCGAAAGACATTTCGTAAGAAAGTTTCTCGTATGAAAATTATCTAATATAAATTATACGCTTAACGTATTAGCATAAGCGGCCGAGTAGAGCGAAGTAACATACGACCGATCAAGGTTAAATCCAAACGAAATCCGTAAGCTTGGCATGTCCAAAGCACTTTGACAAATTAATTGTCATTCGGTTAGAATTTTTTTAATAGGTGAATAATTGTTATTGTCAAGAAAAAAATTTACTCCGATCATTTAAATACTTATCTCGGATAATACTTATGTCGACTCGTTTGGCACGTACTTTCTTTTAAACGATATCATACAATCGCAAGTAATTTTTACGTTGTCTTCTCTCTCTCTCTCTCTCTCTCTCTCTCTCTCTCTCTCTCTCTCAATCGAAAGAAAGTTATGTTAAGCAGATGGTTAATCGATTTCGATAAAAGATTAGTGTTAGTAAGCGAGTACAGTTTCGTGATTAAACCTTTTAATTGGGATCGAACGCCGCTAAGTTTCGAGAATTCGAGCTGTTTATTTACGAACGGAAGAAGCGTCCGGATTCTCATGGGGCAACGGTAAACACACACATACATATGGTCATTTCGTGAAAAGTTTTTCCCCGCGTAAGAAAAACTTTTCTTATAAAGGATAATCCTACGCTTATTTTACGCGCTGCTATTCCGCTAAATTAATTTCTTCTTTATCATGTTGCATCTGTATTTTTTGGTGCTGAGTGAAAACTTACTCACCGACCATTAAACTTCGCTATCTTGAAAAAGTCGTTATAATTTTCTTACGATTTCATTCGAAAAGTTTTATGAGACGCGTTAATGCACAATTACTAGACAACTGTAGTAGCTCTTACTATCAGAGTCAGAGATTGAAAAACGAGGAAATTTTTTTTTTCTTTTTTACATACTACAGGTATTATATCGATTATCCCTCCCGTCCTCACCCGCCCCGCCTAACTCACATCATTTACCACGTAGTACTTATCATTGTGAATTATTGGCAAGTTTGAGCAAAAAAGTCGAGATTTAAGGAGCTGTGGTGGTAAAAGTTATTCGAGAATTATTAGAAAACTTGAACGTGAAGGGTTAATCGTCTCTGATATATCTGATTTCCGAATAAACGAAAGGATAATGTTTGTGCTGTTTAAAAATGTATTTGGCAAGGAAAGTTACCGTGTGTCTGCATGAAAGTGAAAACTTTAAAATTACGTATTAACTGCTACTAACTTGTCTGCTTGGGATAATTCTTAAATTGCCAAATTTTTTTGGCTAATTTTACTAAAACATTCTTAATAGTTGACGATCCTTCAATAGCATAAGTATCTTATATTACGCATTTTCGAAACTGATTGACGCCAATCGCTCTCATTACGTAAAGTAATTGTTGCATTAAGTGTTGGAGCTTTACGTAATATTATATTTCTTTGTGC